CTTTTTTGCTCTTTAGCGCTTAGTAAGAGCTATATTAGTATCCTAAAGTATATATACTTAATCTGTTAAAATTATAATTAAATATGCTACTACCTATACACTTTTTGCTAGCTGGTTAACTGCTTTAATCATTAGTGTTAGAGAGCTTCCTTAATAGGCTGAGATCTAAGTTCTAATAAAGTTTAATTATGAAAGTGCTTTATGTTAGTTAGAGGGTGTTTATAACTGCTAGGCTAGTGGTGTTGAGGGATTGGTTGCAGGAGGTGTGGGCGTCTGTATATATATATTGAGTTTCCTAATCATATGATTTAAGTCCTATAGTAAAATATTAGCTCTGCAGAAGGCAGATTTAATATTTGTGTTCATAAAGATCTTATTATAAGCCTTATAGAAGGTAATAAAGAACTTAGACTTTATAATATAGTTAACAGAGGATTTAATAAATAGGTTGATTTCATCCCTATATATGCGTTTCAAAGGTGAGTATAGCGTAATATCTAATAGCTAGAGTAAGTGAGATAAATATAGAGGTATACTAATAGTTATAATATTATTCTGCTTGCAGTATTCATTAAATTCAGCTGATAAGTAGCTCTTATATCTATTAATTATAAGCATCTGATAGACACCTTTTATATAAGCCTAAGTATACTTTTTGAAATGCTTAATCTAGTCCAGGTTAGTTTTATTATTAGTCTATCTATTAGTAGTTAGTTTAATCACTTAGTCACTTAGAAAGCCTGATTCTATTAATTAGTTAGTAAGGTGATAAGACCCTCAAATAATCATAAAAGGTAGGATACACTATCCCCTCAAATTAATACACTTAATAACCATAACCTATTTATAGTTACTAGGCTGAATAGATTTCGCTTTTCTGCATCTATCAGCATATATAATAACAATCAAACTAATAATAACACCTATTATAAAGCCAGTCTTATTAAAGTTATATAAATCCTTATTATTAATACTATATTTAGCTATTATATTACTTCATAATATAAACCACTTTAAAATAACCTCTAAATCCTCTTAAAATACCTTTTAATAATTATATAGATAATTAAATATAATCTTTAGAGTTAGCTATAAGTTAATCAACCTCTTAGCCTAATGCTTCCTAATAGGCGTCCTATTCTATATCTACAGCAGGAGATTCACTATATCTTCCACACTAGTAAGTCGCAGGAGAAATCCTCTAAAATCCTGCTTAATAATATATTAGAGAAGTGTTTTCTCTTTAATCAGATTAAGTTTATATTATTAAGGCTAGATATAGTTGCAGCGTAGTTAATTATTCATTCTGTCGCAGAAGGTACTTTTGGGGATACTATATATCTTTGCAGCGCCTTATATATCAAGTTTATAACCTAGAGCATGTGTTGATTAGATCGCCTTAATAGCAAGAATGATCTTATCTTCTTAGGTGTAAATCAGCATTGCGGTTGTTGAGATATTATGCGTTAAAGGTTGAAGCGGCTGGGAATAAAGCGCGTCATGGAAAAAGTGCGCAGCTGACTGATATGTGCAGCTGACTGGTAAAGTACGTTAAGTATAAATTATAAATACATAATAATATTTCTTAAGGTGTATTATATAGTATAAATAGAAAATATTTTATAGTAAATATTTAGAGAGATATTTATTTTTATTTTAAATATATTTTATTTTAATTATAATAAGAAGACAAATTAATTATAAATATAAAATTATTTTTATAAAATATAGATATATAGACTATATTAATATATTATGTAATACTTATAAAGTAGATAGCTATTATTATAATAATAAAAATAGGTTAGTTGCTTTTGCTATTTGTTAAATATATATATAAAACTCCTCTTTTTAATATCTACTATTTTATATGTTTTTCTCTTTCTCTCTTCTATAATACGTTATAATTATAATCTTATTTAGTTTTCTTTACTACTAGTTATATAAGTCTTATTATTTTCCTTATTTTTGCTTATTTAGAATCTAATTTCTTTTAAATATCTTAAATCTATAATACTTTTGCTTACTATATTATTTAGCATAAGTGCTGCTAAAAATGCACTTAAATAGACTACTTATAAATATAGCTATAAAACTGCTATTATAGCTGCTAAAAAGACTAATAAGAAGATTCCTAATATAGCTACTAAAAAGACTAGCTAAAAAACTACTTATAAAATCTCTGCTTATATTATAGGAAATCGTATGCTTACTTATTACTATAAGCTTAAAGATAAGTTAGATTATTATAATTTATTTTAGCTATTATAATGCTAATATCCTTTAGATTGTACTTTATAAGAAATCTATTAATACTAAGCTTTTTATATCATTTTTATTATTAAGGCTTCTTTTTAGCACTTTATTAAAGAAATTATATATAATTAAGTTAGCTAATTTAGTCTAACTTATTAGTAAGCTATAGCTATAATAGCTTTTTAAAAAGCTATTAAAGTAACCTTAATAACTATATTTAAAAATATATTTGTTTATTTATTTATTATTCTATTATTAACTAATTTCTAATATCGCTATATATACTGATCTACACTGAAAAGGGTATTATTAAATCTATAGATATTAACTTTATTAAGAAGATTTATATAATATCTTAAGGTATAAAATATTTATAGCTTAATAACGCTATAAAAAGTACTAAATTCTATTTCTATTTTATTATTTTATTCTACTTATATTTATTTAGTTTATTCTAATAAAATTCAATAGAGGTAGAAAAATATTATATATATTTAATTGTACTTTATAATATATAATACTTTAAAGCTAAATTTTGATATTTAATCTAAATAAATAAATAAGATAAAAAAATTTTAGAAGAGTAATAAAAAGAAATAAGATATTATAAAAAAGAGAAAAAGAGCTATAAAAAAAAACTATAATAAAGCTAAAAGAAAACGAGAAAAACTAGCTATAAAGATTTAATTTCTATTAATAGCTTTAATTATAAGAGTAATATAATTTTTTTAAATACTTCTATATAAACGCTTGATACTAATAATTAGCTTAAGTTTAGTAACATTTCTACTAGAAATTATAATACTTCTAATACTATTAAGGAAATCATTTAGTATAATAATATCTGTATAAAAAATACTAAAGCTATTAATAGTTTAAAGTAAAATACTAAAGCTACTGATAACTATATTAGAAACCTTAAAGCCTCTATTAGCTATAAACAAAACCTCTTTAGTAATAATATAATAAGTAATAATAATAGAGAAGAGGCTATTATATAATTTTAAAGGTTTTAAATATCTTAAAATCTTTAACAAAGAAGATTCTAATATTAAGTTAGTAAATACTCTTAACAAACAATAGAGAATACTATATATTAGCTTAATATTAATAAGTTAGTATTTTATAATGCTCTTTAAGAGTAGATAGATACTTATTCTTAAATTAATAAGAATAAAATTAAGATTTAAATTTAATTAATAATAATAGGATAGAATAATTATAGGACTATATAGTAAAACATAGCTTAGTTTAATTAGATTATCTTAAGAACTTAGTAGTAAAAGTATAGCTATATTATATAAAGAGGACTTAAATATAGAAATAATTTTAATAAGATTATTATAATTATTACTATCATATAAACTTATTTCTTTTAAGATAAATAACTTTTATTACTAATAAAATAAGTTTTATATAATTAATAGAATAGTTAGTATAATACTTTATTATATCTATCAGAAAATGTATACCTTTAACTTATAAATATAAATAGAATCTCTACTTATATTTATATTATTATCTACTTATATACTTAGTAAACCTATCTACTTATATTTTAGGTATATCTATAACCTAACCTATTTAGATAGGTACTGATAGGTATTTATAGTATAGGTAATTTGAAGCTTAGGCTTGCTTAAGCTTGATGCTGTTGTTGTTGAGCTTTTATAGAAGTTGGTTTCTGTCTTAAAGTAGGTGGATTAGATTGTCGCCTAACTTTTGCTCCCTGGGCATTAAGTGCGAGTATGATGCAACTAACTAGGCTGAATTCAGGTGGTAACGAGGTTTCAAGTCCTGTTTGGACTGGTTAGGCAGGTTTGTAGCTATGCTGGAGTGGTATGTTGATATGTTGTTGGAAAAAGCCAGAAAAACAAATGAAGTGGCGTGAAGGACGACAAGTATGATAGCAAACACTAGATGAAGGTGGGAAGAATGGGGGCCAGGGCGTCGTATTCGCTCCTGCTGCTGCTGAGGGGCGCTTCTAGGAAGGAGCGATGTTCTTGAGATAGAAAGAGCGGATGGGAGGACTTAGTCCTTATTCTTCCTTCCCTTATTTGTGCTGTTATCCTTAGGCTCTATCGTTCCTGCCCATGTCTTTTCTCTTATCCCCGTTGTCCCTGTTTGTCCTTGTCGTCCTCGTCGTCCTCGTCATCCTCGTCGTCCTCGTACTTGTTCTTGATGCCCTTGGTTTCTTACACCATTATTGTTGATGACTTTGTCCTCGTCCTTTGTCGTTCCCATTTCCTGTACCCAAGGTCATCCTGATACCTATATCCTCTACGACTGTTCATGGAGCCGTCTCAAGCATAATCACAAAACGCCGATGTCATCACCGCAGAGACCGTCGATTCTACCGATGCCACCACTCCTAACTACCGAAGTCCGACACTTCCCGTCAGTCGTAGACAACGCTGCGCAGATAGCTGTTTTCAACAATGCCATCAACTTTGCGAACAAACTCCTGGGAGGCGCACGGGTCCAGGTAGCTGCAGGCACGGCCGAGTCTGTTGGTGAGGCCGCTCGGTTCACCTCACATGCCCGCACGCGTCTGGAGGCCTATCTGCGATTACAAGACAACAACGATGCTCTGATGCGAGAACGGGACCAAATCCGGCAGAGGTCCCTGGTGTAAGGGTATGGAGACTACCTCAGCCGCCTCCTTCAGTGCATCCGTTCTAAGCTCCGACGGGATGTTGCGAGTGGTGCCTGCCCTACAGACATTGCGAACGCTACCACATCTCATGACCTTTCTACGCGACTGGGGCAAGATCTCGGAGTCGGTGGACAGTCAAGACCGCGCGTCCATGATGTGGGAGCTCGATCCCAGCGAGGACAAGGGCGCATGCCCCGGCAAAGCCATGATGCAGTACTTGACCAACGTGGCATGGCAGTTCGGCCCGATCCTCCGCTCCGAGGAGAGCAGCTGGATTTTATTATACGGTCATATGGTGAAAGGTGTGAAAGAGCGCACACCGACCTACAGCCCCTCCTCGAGAAGTGAGATTAGAAAGGCTTGCACAACATGCTTTGGGCAGCGGACGGCGCCATCGACGGGGCCTTTCGGAGGGGCGCGGAGGACGATGCACGAGCTGCCTTACACTAGGTACGCGGTGAAGCTTTCTAACGACTTTTACCTAACGATGAGAGGATCCAACGTCATGCCAACGTAGAACGTGACTGGCGAACACGGTCGACTACGGAACTTATGCTCTGGAGCCACGACAGTCCAGGTGAGACGATCACATCATCCCCGCCACGCCCAAGCGTGCTCCCAACACCACCCCGAACGCATCCCATCCAGCTTGCCGCCACACCTATCCCCCAGTGTACGGACTCTAACACCGAGGACGGCATTATTACAAGCGCCACCGCCTATGCCGAGAAGCTTCCCTTAAGTCCTCGAGTAATCAGCAGTAGCACACGGATTGCTGCCACTGTCCTGAAAGAGCAGGCAGAGTGGGGAGAACGCGAGCTTGTGAATGGATCCCGGGATAACGCGCAGAGGGCCATTCGATTCATCCAATGTGAACACACGAGGCTGGAGTCCTACCTGGCACTGAAGTACACGAACACCCAGCTGGTAGCCACCCATGCAACAGCAATCGAAGAACGCAATTAGTTGCAGCGACAGCTGTGTCAGCGAAAACACGTCGCCGCAATCGATGCATACGCCGACTATGTCGGCCAGCTTCTCCGTGCAGTCCGGAACAGGGTGCGGACGGCCGTCCGCGACAAGCAAATATTACCAAAGATTGCAAAGGCCGGGCCCCCACATGTTGACTTCCTGGCTAGGGGCATTTCGGCCCGCCTGCGAAAAGAAGCGGTGGCAATCGCGAAGTGGGCTGTCGACACGAGCGTTGAGAAGGGCGCCAGGCCCAAACCTGATATTTCAAAGTATTTAAGCGATGTGAGCTGGCAGCATGGTCATGATTTCAACGAACCCCTGCGGGGAGAGACACTTGCGTAGATAGTAAAAGCCTACAGAGCCTGATGCGAGAGAGCCCACTCGAAATTCGAGCCGCTCGTCAAGATGAAGGATTGGGCCAGGCTACACAATTTGATTCAGAGCGCGCACAGTGCAGTCCCCACAGTCTTCAGCCGACCAGCTGACCAAACAAACGGTTATGGAAGCACTCTCCTGTGCAACCAGCTTCTGCCAGCAATGGTATTTCCTTCGACCGACACGCCGCAACAACAATCAGCGCAACCTGCCAACAAAACACGCTACAGATGAGACCGCCTATTAAGTTGTGCGAGGAGGACGACGACAAAAACAACAAGGAAGACGAGGAAGACGAGGAAGACGAGGAAGACGAGGAAGACGAGGAAGACGAGGAAGACGTACCTAATATCACACACAAGTAGATAACTCAACTAAGCTGAAAGATATGTCTACGGCCCCGTATCATCACTCGAGTAGCCAGATGAAGTCGTGACAACATGATTTCCAGACTACAGCTTATCCAGGCTGCTGGCATAAATGGCCTTCAGTAACGCCGTGAACGTCACTTCACCTATAGAATTGTCGAAATCATCGTGGAAAGATCAAAAGCGATATTATGGGAAACGCAAAAATGCATCCCGACCTACCCAGGGATCGAACCTAGAATCTTCAGAGTATGACTTGGAGCAGCCGAAATCTGACGCGATGCCATTTCGCCAGCAGGCCAATTGGATGCAAATTCGGGCGAGATTTGGGGTTCATATACGGCGGGCAGGGGTCCGCTGGCTTCGTGTTAGTGGTCGTGCGGGGCGCAAAGGTACCCTTACAGCTGCGAGCAGTCTGGGGAACCTGTCATGCTGAGATGTTGGTACGTGAGCAGATGATATCGCGACATTTAAGCAGGGGGGAATGAAGTTGACTGGATTGGAAATGAAATATGATTGTGAAATCTGCGCTGGAAGCTTTTGGGGCGGCAATTTAGTTGTGGACAGGCAGTCCTGGAAGCTCAATCCAGTGAACCTCTGAGTGTACCTGAAAGACAGTGAACCGTAAACTTCCCAAGCTTCTAATACGACCTCTGAAAACTCCTACGAAATATGTTCAGAAGGGGAATTCTCGCCTGAATGCCGCCATTCATGCAAGTATGCCAAATCTGGCGTCTTCATACTCAATTAGCAGAGGATAGTTTTCGGAACGCCCACCGCGTACCCGACGATCCCTCCACTATCCGACGAACGCCTTTCGGCCCCGCTTCGAGGGATGGTTTGTCGATGATTTGTACCCATGGAGCTGAATTTCGGACGAATTTTCCGTTTTCCGTCTTCGCCGAATTGTTGAAGTATATCTTAGAGTGGTAGGGATATCTAGTGCGAAGTCTGCCCATGCAAAATCACAATACCCTTTCCCTTTCGTCGCTGTTAAGCCAAGCTGCTGCAAGTTAATATGCCGACTAACAGAGCTGCCTGGCTCACTGAGCCAAAGTCATATCCCTTCCAAATGAAGGATGCCCCGCTTCCCACGGCTGAACCGGGAGAGGTTGTGATTAGGAATGTTGTTACTGCTTTGGTGAGTTGTAATGCTGCACTCATGGGGCAGTCCTGTAAGTAAAATACCATGCAACTGACTTGAAGGCAGAATCCCGCTGAGTGGAAAATACAGTAAGACTGCACGCAGTAGCACGTGAAACGGAAGGCTGATAAGAGATCAGAGATCTTGGTGTGATTGTGCAGAAATATCCGACCATCTTAGGAGCGGATGCGGCTGGATATATCGAAGAGGTTGGCGAGGGCGTCACGCATCTGCAAAAGGGCCAGCGGGTGATAGGGTGCGTCTACGATCCAGCGAGCCACGATCTCACCAATCAAAAATGACTGACAGCCCAATAAAGGTATTGCACCGGTCTTGGCCTCCAAAATCACGAGTTCGGAACGTTTCAGCTCTACAGCAAAGCCGCCGCGAACCTCGTCGCGCCGATCCCCGACGACATGAGCTTCGAGGCGGCATCGGTGCTTCCCCTCGCGATCGCAACCGCTTCCGTCGGTCTTGACAAGAAGAAGTATCTCGGTCTGCCTTTACCTAGCTTAACACCAGCACCAACGGGCAAGACGTTGCTGGTATGGGGTGGAGCCTCATCAGTTGGCGGAACGGCGGTGCAGCTTGCGGTCGCGTCCGGCTTGAGGGTCATCACGACGGCTTCGAAGGCCAACTTTGACAAGGTAAAGGACTTGGGCGCGGACACTGTTCTTGACTACCACTCTGGAACTATCATCGACGATGCCATCAGGGTATTGTCTGGGACCGACCTTGCGGGGGTCTACGATGCGATCTCTTCTCCTCAATCTTTGCAGCCCATCGGCGCTATTCTTGACAAGCTTGGGCCGCACAAGGTGGTGACGGTGCTACCTGTTGAGGGGGACTTTGGAAAGAATACGCTCTTGTCATTCGGTAAGTGACTCAAGGAAACTATCGCAAATATTCTAATGATTTTCGCAGAGACGGCGTTTCAAATCACCGAGAACCCTGAGAAAGTCGGTGATCCGGTCTGGAGAGAATTTGTACCTGGAGCGCTCAAGAACGGTCAACTGAAGCCGAAGCCAGATCCTGAGGTGGTGGGAAAGGGGCTGGAGTCGATTCAGGGTGGGCTTGAGCGGCTCAAGAAAGGGGTCTCTGCGACGAAGCTGGTGATTCAGTACTGAGGTGGGGCTCGTCTGAGGAGGAAAGATCTGTGTGTATTTTATGCAGTAAGTTTGAAATGCCAAAAGATTAAAAACTTCAAACGGGTTTGGAGGAATCTGTCTGTGCCGTGCATGCATGCATGCTCTGGGATGCAGTCAGCTGGATCAGCTCCTCCATCAGTGCTCTGAACAGCTTCGGTGAAGACTTCACCTGGAGCTCACCTGTAGCTCATATCGGTGTATGCGCACGTGCCATTGGCCGATGCCAAAAAGCAGCGGCGGGATTGGCTCGGAAGGCACCGACCGACCTCGAAAACCGGAAATAAATGGGGCAGGTGAGGCCGGACTTCGGCTGTTCTGTTGATCCATAACGTCACGCCGCATTCATCCAGATCCGTGCGCGTGCCCCACCATGACGCTATCCTCCTTGCAGCTAGCGCCATGACAGCTTGCCTGCAGGCAGCACCAAAGACGGGCAAGAGCTGGGTGGGCAGGAGTCCAGACTCCCTCCGAGGAAGCCGGCAGCGCCGCAGTCGCAGTCGCAGTCGCAGTCGCAGTCGCAGTTGCAGACAGCAGTCGCAGGCTGCCAAGGCAGCAAGCAGTACAGCGTCACCACCAGCGAACGTGGAAGGCAGCACCACAAGCCGTCGGGTCGGATGGTTGGAGGGGTTCTTGACTCCTTCCCCGTCCAATTCGGCGCCCAAAATCAAGCCGGCGGACGGAGCCTGAACCTGCCTGCGCTGCGCTCGGCCGCCTCGGTTCCAGACATGGAAGCCATGACCATGACCAGACCATGACCAGACCAAACCCATGACTCTCACCAGTGTCTCTATCGTTCCATGTTCCATGCGGATGTCTCTGCCATCGTCCGTCTTTTGTTTCCTCCTCACCTTACCAAGTACCTTTAAGTTTGCCTTTGCCTAGCCGCAGGTACCTCAACTACCTTTACCTATCTGACCTTACCTTATTGTACTCTTCCCGACCTGAAGACGACGTTGGTGTCCTCCACCAAGCAGCATCCCAGCTTGCCGTCCAGCTGCCCGTCTCACATGCCCTTCGCACGCGACACCACGAAGACGACTCCTCATCAACCCGCCTCGAAGCTCTCCACCGACCCCTATCTACCTGCGATCTTCGCCGCTTGACGTCAAACCTACGAGAAACATCCAACTCCTCTTCCGCATGCCTTTCGAACCTGCGATCCTCTCCCAACCCGACCGAAACCTCCAACATTACCCCGCGATCATGGCGACCGACGTACACAAGAAAACAGACGATGCCGTCTCAGCTCCAGGTCCAAATGCTGGCTTGTTCAGGAAACCCAGCGACTCCCACCCGGCGGGTCGCATCAAGCATAACAAGCTGATGCAGATTCTCCGTGGTGTCTCCTTCGCCGTCTATTTCGCAGCATGCTGCGCAAGGTACGAAGCTCTATACCCCGCTCTGCTCTGCGACGAAGGAAATCCACAGCTAACCTGAAGCTTGCGCCAGTATCTTTATCACCCAGCTGATGGGCTGCGGCCTGTACCTGGTCAACCGCGAGCTCTACTACGCCTATATGGCCCTGACGAAACAGTCCTTCGCCCTGACCACGACCGCGATGACGCACATTTGGGGCCCCACGAAGATTCGGATCAGTGGCGATGCATCGGTAGCGGGGCAAATACGGCAGACTCCCGGCGGCGGCGTTGAGTTCGACTTCCCCGAGCGCTTGATCCTGATCGCGAACCACCAGATCTACACGGACTGGCTGTACCTCTGGTGGGTGGCGTACGCCAACGAGCCGGGCATGCATGGCCACATCTACATCATCTTGAAGGAGTCGCTCAAGTACATCCCCCTCGTCGGCTGGGGCATGATGTTCTACGGCTTCATCTTCATGTCGCGCAAGATGTCGACGGACCAGCCGCGCCTGGCGCATCGCCTCGGCAAGCTGAAGATGGAACACACTACACCCAGTGGCAAGAAGCATCGCGATCCGATGTGGCTGCTTCTCTTCCCCGAAGGCACAAATTTGTCAGGCAACGGCCGCAGGAAGTCAGCGGCATGGGCGGAGCAGACGGGTCTCAAGGACCCCGAGCACCTCCTGCTGCCGCGCAGCACCGGCATGTACTTTTGCCTGAAGGAGTTGCAGGGGACTCTGGACTACGTCTATGACTGCACTGTTGCATACGAAGGCGTCCCGTTAGTTCTTACGCCAGCCGGTCCCGTCTGAGACACGAGCTAACAACATTCCAGTCGTGGAAAGTACGGCGAGTCCTACTTCACCCTTGCGAGCACCTACTTCCAGGGTCGACCCCCGAAATCGGTCAACTTCCACTGGCGCCGCTTCCGCGTCGCCGACATGCCCCTCCACAACCAGAAGGAGTTCGACGCCTGGGTGCGCGAGAGGTGGTACGAGAAAGACGCCCTGATGGAGGAGTACCTCGTCAACGGCCGCTTCCCACCAAGCGAGGACAACAAGAAGGGGTACATCGAGACGGAGGTCCGCCTGAAGCACTGGTGGGAGCTGTCGCAAGTCTTTGTTGTTGTCGGAGCCGCCGGGCTCATTTTTAGGATGTTCATCAACACGATGCAGCGATGGGCGGCGGCCTTCTAGGCTCAGCGTCCGGGTCGATGATATGTATGACGTGATGCTTTCCTTCTAGTTTGGAAGCTGGATATATGGTGGTTCGGCAACGGATTGGGTACACTTTCATGATTCCCCCGGTGGCTGGTGATTAGCGAGCGATTTCTCATACACGGAG